GTAAATATTCCATTACCTAATTAAATCACTCACCAGTAGCTTTGTACTGCTCTTCAAGAAATACAAAGTGAGCCCTAACCAGTTTGGCTCAGCGGATAGAGTTTTGGCCTGTGGACTCAAGGGTCCCAGGTTCGGTTCCGGTCAAGGGCATGTACCTTGGTTACAGGCACATCCCCAGTGGGGAGGCGTGCAGGAGGCAGCTGATCAATGTTTCTCTCTCATCGATGTTTCTAACTCTCTATCCCTCTCCCTTCCTCTCTGTAAAAAATCAATAAAAATATATTTTTTTTAAAAAAGAAATATAAAGTGAAAGCCCAAGAAGTTGGCTTCTGCATTTGTACTCACCATTAACAGTGACTAGAATGGTTAGAGGCCTGCCCCTCAAAAACAAGTAAACTATACTCTTCAAGCAGAAAATGCATACCACAAGCAGCTATTCTGAGAACATTACACTTTTCTCTCCAGACCACATAGCAGTGCCTGAAAAAGTTACACCAAATTTGTAAAAGGGAAGGAAGGAGGGGAGAGTCAAGCCAACAATCCCATATCTGAACTGAGGAAGTGCAGTCCTTCCTCTGTGCCTCTAACTGCACTTACACTCTCCTCCCTCTTAGCTTTTGCCTTCTGGTTATGAAACAGTTGATGAATTTCATGTCACTCTTTTAGAAGGGCTATCTCCTAAGAGTTAACTCAGTGGCCAATCAGAAAATAAACAGATGTCGGAGGTGAGGCTTTTTAGAAAGCGACATCAGGCAGAGAAACTTTCCATTTATACTTGTAAAGTTTGCCACATGCATGAGACAAGATGTCCTCCACAGCCATCTTCCTTCACTGCTTCTAAAAGGCAGAACTTACAACTGTCCTCAAATTGGGTTCATTAAAGGGTTGTTTCCCTACCACCTCACTTCACTCATGCCCTTTCATCAATGGCTATGGCTATCTCAAGGGTACTAAGCTACAGAAATATTTTTGCCTTATCTCCTCGAACAACCAGGCCCTGATAATAAATAGAGCAAAATGTTTTTTAAGATTTTAAACTAAGTTCTACTCTGCAGCACGTTTGTTAGTGAACTTCAATTCTAGTCCACAACATTTTGAGTGCTGTAACATCAGAGCTTCAGGTTTCAACAATACAAAGCAGGCACTACATTTCAAGAGTGAACACACAGCTGCCTCTCTGCAATCCTAAATTGCCCCCAGAACCCACTGAAGAAACCCTTTTACCATCTTTTGATAAGGTTCCTCAATATTGGGGTGGGGAGAGCTAATTCCCCCAAAGTCAACGATACAGCATGTATTTTCTTATAATTTATCAATCATAGATTTGCAAAAAATGTAAAAACTGGCACACTGAAGATCAGCCTCTGTAACACAACCTTCACCCACTCATACACATCATTTTTGAAAGGAAAGTTTAAACCAGTGATTCCCACCCAAGGAACATTTAACAATGGCTGCGTATATTTTTGACTATCACTACTGGAGGAAAGGGAGCTACTGTCACCCAGAAGCCTGGTATACTGCTAAACCCCTACAATGCACAAGACAATTCCCCACGACAGAAGATTATCAAGCCAAAAATGTCAGTAATGCTCAGGCTGTAAAACCCGGGTTTAAACTCAAGCTCTACATCAGATGTTGGTTATTTACCAGGTCTCACACCAAATGAGAATTTAGATCTCAGGACCTAGAAAATTCTGTAATAGTCTCCCTTGGCCATTTCTTCCTACAGCCCCAAAAATGTGAGATTATGGGCATCTTAAGACACTGTGTACAAGTTACTGATCCAGAACTAAGATGTGGGCAGTTCTGATAAGTCCTACACTTCCAGAGTTTAAAAAGAAAAACGAAGTCAAGCCATTAAATTAAGAAAGTCCACAAAAATTAATCATTTTGAAATTGTCATAGTAGTCAAAGTTTAGTACTGTTCCTACACTAACAAACTTTAGGACATTTTTCCACTCAAGCTGGGAGTCAAGTGTCCCTAGAGACAATTTCCACACAAGTTAACAAAAAAACTGCAAACCAAAGCAGCAGCATAAACATTAATGTGGCTCCAAGGTGACGTCATCCACGAGGCTAGGAAGGGCTACCATCTAGTGTCCTTGCAAAACTTTTCCTACTTGCTAAATTTACTTCAGTCTATTAGCAATTTAAGAATCATTAAAAAAAAAAAGTCTTGGTAGGCAATCAGGACCCATACTCTATTTGCGGTGGGTTTGCTGGAATATTGAAGAGATTCATCACCACAGATGGATACACACTGAATCTGGGAGTGGGAACCTAACCATGATGCCAGCTATTTAAGTGGCTTTTTGGCAAACAAAAGGCCTGGAGAACCTGTAAGGTGCAAAATGACTAGAGACCAGGGTAACTTATTTTATGGGAACGAGGTTCTGCGTGATCTCATTTCCCCCCTACCCATTAAAAACTCCAGACACCCGAGAACGTCCCATGGACGGTGGCACAGTACTACGTAACTATAACGATGGAGCCACTGGTGTTAATGCCTTAACTTTTTCAGGGATGACACTTGGTAAAAATCCCATTTTTCCAAATTTAAAGATCAAAATACAATCTTTTCCATCAGTAGAGAACCATCAGTAGAGTTGAACCAGGTCATAATTCGATTCCCAGTCAGGGCATATCTATGAGGCTTGCCCGGGCCCTGGCTGTGGGTTGAGCAGTCTCCCATGGACCAAAAGGTCGCTGGTTCCATTCACCATAGGGGGCATGCAGGAGGCAGCTGATCAAGTTTCTCTCCCTTCCTCTCTATAAAAATCGTCCTTTAAGTTAACAGTAAAAACCATCTAAAGATACACAGCACAGGACGAAAATTAGATCAGGAAGCAAAATGAAGCCACGTGTTAGGGCTATATTTTAGTAAGTTTTATTATTTCCTTATTTCTTCATTTAAAAAAAATAGAAGGAAAATGATTCTACATAAATCCTTTTCCTGTAGCCACTACAAGGGTTGGGGGGGCAGGAAATAGCCTTCATAATCCTCCAATTTTGCTGGAGGGTTAGAATGATGGGCACTTTAAATTCCAGCTACCATATACCATACTAACAAACAGGAAGGCCCGCTGAAGCAGTCGAGCACTTTTAAACAGCTAATGTTTTAGACTCTCAAACACTGTGGGTCAAGGAAGAAGTATGTGTGTGTGTATATCAAATTGCTATCAAAATTCCTATTCAGCATCTAAACTTGTAGGAAGAAATCTACCTTTGGAATGTTCTGGTAAAAATCGTAGTCTCAAGTTCCCACTTTCAGTTTTAGTAAAAAGAACAAGTTCCTTCTTTCAACTTTCAAGTAAAAATACTCCCAGGAAGACTTGACTACCCCCATCACCAAGTTGCACTTGAGTAACTAACACAGCATGAGGCCCTCGTTGGAACAATGTGGGACTTAGACTGGAAGATAGTCTCTCCCCAAAGACGGCTAACACAGACGGGACATTTTAAGATGTCTTCCAGGTTAAATCCAAGAGTGTTTTGTATCTTTAAAGTTTCCCCTTTCTGTCAGAAAAACTTGTGTTAACGATTCTGCACATTAACATTATGGTTCATTATCAACTTATACGAATTGTGCGACACTAATTCAAATGTAAAGGGTCAATAAAAAGAGCAGAGGCTTGTTTCTAAATCTTTAATTGGCTACGGCAAACTAATTTTACTGCACGTTACCTACCAGACCTCAAGCTTTAAGCGGCATGGGGATAATTTACATAAACACCCAGATTTTAAAAATAAAAACCGAGTTCAACAACTATTAGAGGTCCTACGAAAAATCACACAACTCCCGCAGCGACGCATTTAGTGTTTATAGAGTTGTAAGATACAGGCTTCAGATTTCTGACTTGATGAAATTTCCTCAGTATTTAAGGCCTAAATTTTAGGCCAAAGAAAGAGTTTTACCAAGGTGGAGGGGGGGAGCAGTTTGGAGGCATTTAGTTGCATATTAAGTGGATTTCACGTCCCCAGTCCAGTCTTCGTGAAGCCAAGATCAGTTATAAAAACTTTTTTACGTAAAAACCCATTCTCGGGGCTCCAGAGGCTCGCCGCGCCCGCTCGGCCCCGACACCGGGCCGCTGGACACGGTGCCGCGTCTGTTCTCAGCCTCAAGAAGGAA